CACTCACAACTCACCCTTACCACTCACCACTCCCACTCACTATTCACCATTCACCCTCACAACTCGCCACTCACCAACCTCCCTCGCCAATCTCCCTCACCACTCACCCTCACCACTCACCCTCACCACTCACCCTCACCACTCACCAATCACCACTCACCCTCACCACTCACTCTCACCACTAACCCTCACCACTAACCCTCACCACTAACCCTCACCACTCTCACTCACCACTCTCCCTCACCACTCACCACTCACTCTCACCATTCATCCTCACCAATCACCACTGACCAATCACCACTCACCACTCTCCACTCACCACTCTCCACTAACCCTCACCACTCAACCTCACCACTCACCCTCACCACTCAGCACTCACCCTCACCACTCACCCTCACCACTCACCCTCACCACTCACCCTCACCACTCACCCCTCACCGCTCACCACTCACCCATCACCACTCACAACCACCACTCACCCTCACCACTCATCCTCACCACTCACCCTCACAACAACCACTCACCCTCACCACTCACCCTGACCACTCATCCTCACCAATCACACCCTCACCAATCACCACTCACCCGCACTGCTCACCCTCACCACTCACGCTCACCCTCACCACTCACCCCTCACTAATCACCACTCATAACCGCCACTCACCCTCACCACTCACCCTCAACACTCACCCTCACCACTCACCGTGACCACTCACCCTCACTACTCACCACTCATCCTCACCAATCACACCCTCAACAATCACCACTCACCCTCACAACTCACCCTCACCACTCACTCACCACTCACCACTCACCCCTCACAACAACCACTCACCCTCACCGCTCAGCACTCACCCTCACCAATCACCACTCACCCTGACCACTCACCACTCATCCTCACCAATCACATCCTCACCAATCACCACTCACCCTCACTGCTCACCCTCACCGCTCACCCTCACCACTCACCCTCACCACTCACGCTCACCCTCACCACTCACCCCTCACTAATCACCACTCACAACCGCCACTCACCCTCACCACTAACCCTCACCACTCACCACTCACTAATCACCTCTCACAACCGTCACTCACCCTCACCACTCACTCTTACCACTCACCCTCACCACGCACCCTCACAACAACCACTCACCCTCACAACAACCACTCACCCTCACTACTCACCCTCACCACTCATCCTCACCAATCACACCCTCACCAATCACCACTCACCCTCACTGCTCACCACTCAACCTCACCACTCACGCTCACCCTCACCATTCATCCCTCACTAATCACCACTAACAACCGCCACTCACCCTCCCCACTCACCCTCACCACTCACCCTCACCAATCACCACTCACCCTCACCAATCACCACTCACCCTCACCACTCACCCTCACCACTCTCCCTCACCACTCTCCCTCACCACTCTCCCTCACCAGTCACGCTCACCACTCGCCACTCACGCTCACCACTCACCCTCACTACTCACCCTAACCACTCACCACTCACACTCACCACTCACCCTCACCACTCACCCTCACTACTCACCACTCACGCTCACCACTCACCCTAACCACTCACCACTCACCCTCACCGCTCACCACTCACCCTCACCACTCACCCTGACCACTCACCACTCATCCTCACCAATCACACCCTCACCAATCACTACTCACCCTCACTGCTCACTCTCACTGCTCACCCTCACCACTCACCCTAACCACTCACGCTCACCCTCACCACTCACCCCTCACTAATCACCATTCACAACCGCCATTCACCCTCACCACTCACCCTCACCACTCACCCTCACTACTCACCACTAATCCTCACCAATCACACCCTCAACAATCACCACTCACCCTCACCACTCACGCTCAACACTCACCCTCACCACTCATGCTCACCACTAACCCTCACCACTCACCCCTCACTAATCACCACTAACAACCGCCACTCACCCTCCCCACTCACCCTCACCAATCACCACTCACCCTCACCACTCAACCTCACCACTCACCCACACCACCACCACTCTCCCCCTCACCACTCTCCCCCTCACCACTCTCCCCCTCACCACTCTACCCCTCACCACTCTCCCCCTCACCACTCTCCCCCTCACCACTCTCCCCCTCACCACTCTCCCCCTCACCACTCTCCCCCTCACCACTCTCCCCCTCACCACTCTCCCCCTCACCACTCTCTCCCTCACCACTCTCTCCCTCACCACTCTCCCCCTCACCACTCTCCCCCTCACCACTCTCCCCCTCGCCTCTCTCTCCCACACCACTCTCCCCCTCACCACTCTCCCCCTCACCACTCTCCCCCTCACCACTCTCCCCTCACCACTCTCCCCCTCACCACTCTCCCCCTCACCACTCTCCCCTCACCACTCTCCCGCCCTCACCACTCTCCCGCTCACCACTCTCCCCCTCACCCACTCTCCCCTCACCACTCCTCCCCCTCACCACTCTCCCCCTCACACCACTCTCCCCCTCACCACCACTCTCCCCCTCACCACCACTCTCTCCCCCTCACCACCACTCTCCCCCTCACCACCACTCTCCCCCTCACCACCACTCTCCCCCTCACCACCACTCTCCCCCTCACCACCACTCTCCCCCCTCACCACTCTCCCCCTCACCACTCTCCCCCTCACCACTCCCCCCTCACCACTCTCCCCTCACCACTCTCTCCCTCACCACTCTCCCCTCACCACTCTCCCCCTCACCACTCTCCCCTCACCACTCTCCCCCTCCCCACTCTCCCCCTCACCACTCTCCCCCCTCACCACTCTCCCCCTCACCACTCTCCCCTCACCACTCTCCCCCTCACCACTCTCTCCCTCCCACATCTCCCCTCACCACTCTCCCCCTCACCACTCTCCCCCTCACCACTCTCCCCCTCACCACTCTCCCCCTCACCACTCTCCCCCTCACCACTCTCACTCTCCCCCTCACCACTCTCCCCCCCACTCACCACACTCTCCCCCTCACCACTCTCCCCCTCACCACTCTCCTCCCTCACCACTCTCTCCCTCACCACTCTCCCCTCACCCTCCCCCTCACCACTCTCACCACTCTCCCCCTCACCACTCTCCCCTCACCACTCTCCCCCTCACCACTCTCCCCACTCTCCCCCTCACCACTCTCCCCCTCACCACTCTCCCCCTCACCACTCTCATCACTCTCCCCACTCTCCCCCTCACCACTCTCGCCCTCACCACTCTCCCCCTCACCACTCTCACCACTCTCCCCACTCTCCCCCTCACCACTCTCCCCCTCACCACTCTCACCACTCTCCCCACTCTCCCCCTCACCACTCTCCCCCTCCTAAAGGAATCTACAACCTTCGATTCGTCCTTTGTGCGATTCAAGGAATCGATTCCTGGCATTTTGGGGGTTTACATTTTGAATGACAGAGTTTTATTTTCATTGATATGTTATGTTTTAATGTTTTCAGGAGTTTTTAATAACATTTTTGCCCCGGTCAACGCCGGATATTTCCCGTTCGTAGCAGTTTATATCGACTTTAACCAACTTATAGTAAACGGGAATCGTCCGAATCTAAAGGAATCTACAACCTTCGATTCCTTTTCGCGATTCAGAGAATCGATTCTTGGCGCGTCGGATTTAAAAGTAATTACACACTTGTATTTTCATTGGTATGTAATGTTTTAAAGTTTTCAGAAGATTTTAAATGTATTTTCCCCCCGGGCAACGCCGGGTATATCGAGTTTATACCACAAAGTCGTCGCTTGACACGGGTGGGGTGTCGAGGCCTAGTACCGTGCAGAGCCTCCGGCCTTGCCTAGATTGCCTACCCAGCTGAGGGTGTGTACTGGGGCCAATACCCCCCCCCCCCGCGCTACAATAATACTGTCTAATCGCTATAATTTTATTATCTACCGACCCTATAATAGTAATTGCACACATTGGGGTGGAAGGGGAGTGAAGAGGACGTGAAACTTTGATGAATTTACCTCAGAATCGCGTGTTAATGCGTGCGCATATTTTTAATGGTAATTCAAAATGGCGTCCACCCCGCAGCGAACGCGTCTCTCTCTACCCGTTGCCAGGGGCAACCGCCGTGGTCCGCGCCGGCCGGCAAGAGTAAATAAATAAATAAAGCGTTAAATATATAAATAAAGATAAATCGCGCTAAATCGATAATCGGTCCGATTTAAAGTTTAGAGACGAAAAATCGGAAATGCCTAAGTTTACCGCGGGGCCGGGGGCGTGCCCACCTGCAAAATTTAATCTCGCCGAACCCCACGGTCCGAGAGCTAAATCCCCCGGTAGGGAGCGTACGCGGACGGACGGACGGACGGACAAAAAATGAATTATATAGGTTAGATGGCTCTGGCTCTCACTTAGGTCACCAACAGCACTTGCCCCAATAGCTGTGTGTAGGCTACACGGGATAACTTTGTCTTTGTACACAATGTCAACAGCCACTCACCACTAAGTATCAGTGACGTCACCACGGCGCTTGTACCATGCGAGGTGTACTTTTGAGGCCACGTGAAGCGTCCAAGGCCTGCTGGCAGAAGGTTACAGAACAGACCCACGTGAATTGGGTTGACTGAGATAACAGACAGATGCACCAACTCTGCTCCCCACTGTGCTAACTTTCTGCGTCATAGCCACTCGGCGCTCTGCTCGTTGTGAGTGTCACTCCTCTGCTCTCCGTTGGTCCTGGAGGGCGACTGCCTCTAACTACCTAGCAGTGTCCTTCACGAACCTCCTCCACAGGGGCAGATCTTGACACTGCTAGTGCCTGTCATCAGAAAGTCTAATCAGCCCCACATCCTTCGGTACTGCATCAGTCCATCTCTTCTCTAGCCCGTGCCATGCCCGTTTAGCCCCATATATCCAGCCAAACATGCCGGCGATACGACCCAGCCAATGCCCATCCAATGCAGGCTCACAAACACAAACTCGCACTCATTCACACTCAACCCTCATGTGCGATTGGTGTTGCTCCATCACAGCGGAGGAGAAGGCCCGTGAGTTGGAGAGCCAGGCCCGAGAACTGGAAAGGAAACTTGACTTTGACATGGGGCAGAACGCCAGGGTAAGTGGGTGCGCAAGGGCGGTCAGTCGGTCAGAGAAATGTGTGACATTGTTGTCGCAATGCCTCTTTTTTTCCACTTTGTAACTGGGCCGTGCCGAGCCAGCCCGGCGCGGCTCAGGTCAGGAGGGGCCAGGTTTTTTCCACTGCAGAAGCCGAGCCATGCCAGTGGTTTCGCTCGCGGTGATCAAGCGGAGGAGGAGACGCACATGGATAACGAGGAGCCCTCGCGGCGTGCTCACTGACATCGCGCACGACCAACGCGTCATTAGTCTTGCCCCTGGCCGTGGCCCTGCTTAGCCCCGAGCGATATTGAGATGTGCACATCAAAGTTTGGTTCCAGTCTTGGCTTGCTTAATGGCCCCAGTGGAAAAAAAACACCCACACCGTGCCAGTGGAAAAGCCGCTGACTTGGCTCGGATGCGCCAGTGGAAAAGGGGCACAGTTGTAAAGTGGTATTGTATAGTAATATTGTATTGTATAGTATCTTGGTATTATTGTATAGAGTAGTGTTTTATAGTACAGCAGTACTGTATAGTTGTATAATTGTATTGTATAGTATTATATAATTGTGTAGTTTTATTGTATAGTTATATAATTGTATTGTATAGTTGTTTCATTGTATTGCATGGTTTTTGTGTTTAGTTGTCCATCCATCGCACCTCCAATTACCATGGTTGGTTATGCATGGTGCGGAAGAAGTTCAACATATATACGAACACTCGCACTTACAAACCAGCTTTCGTGATTTTTTTTTGTTGAACATTGACTTAAAACGTGAACTCGTACTTTCAAACTGAATCAGGGAGCTATTTTGTTCAGTGGAGTGATCCTCCGCAAGATGACCATATGGGCATTTAAATATAGCACATTGCTGTGTTCCGACTTACGGGCCGTTCGACTTACGAACAGGTCCCAGGAACGATTTATGTTCTTAAGTTGAGGACTGCCCTACGTATAATTGTATAGTATTGTATAATTGTATTCTATAGTTGTTTAATTGTATAGTAGTATTATATAATTGTATGGTTGCATTGTGTGGTTGTATCCGTACTGTGTCGGTGCAGGCACAGGTCCGCCAGGCTCAGGTCGCAGCCTCTGAGCAGCAGTGTGAGCTGCAACACCTCCGCAACGAGTTGCAGCAAAACCTGGGGTAACTACTTGGCGCGTGTGTGCGTGTGTGTCCAAGGACAAAGAGCCCCGTGTAGCCTACTCAAGACCATTGAGGGAAGTATTGTTGGTGACCTAAGCATGGCCCAGAACCGTTTTAGATATTCGATTCTGATATCAGCCATGAGGACTTTAACTTGGGTTACCGGTTCGTCACACAGTTACCTGATACGGTGTGTAAACAACATCACTACTGGGGAGACGAAGGCAGCAGGGCGTGGTGCTGGTCACACCAACCGCTTGTGTGCTGTGGCGGCCCTCATAGGGGCTGCTCACTAACAACACTTGTCCCGACAGTTGCTTTGAGGCAACATGGGTGTTAATTGCCTTTGTCTTTCGGCACGTGCGCGCGGACTTGTGTGTGTGTGTGAGATAGATAATGTATGAGGGGCTGGACCGTGTAGCCCGCATGTCCAGGCACCGTATGCCCAAGCAGCTTCTGTTTGGCAGGATATAAGGGGCTAAATAGGCACAGTACAGGCTGGAAAAGAGATGGACTCATGCGGTGAAGGATGATATGGAGCTGAGTGGACTTGCCGATGACCGTATCAGTGGTGTCAAGGTCAGCCTCTGTGGTGGAAGAGGCCCGTAAAGGATGCTACCGGGCAGTTGGAGGCAGTCGCCCTCCAACAACGGAGGACAGAGGAGCGACGCTCGCAACAATGAGCAGAGCACCGAGCAGATAAAATACTGTACAACAAGTTGGCACAATGGGGAGCACAGATGGCGCATCTGCGGGTCATCTCAGTCAGCCCATGGCACCTGGGTCCTGCCTGTGTACTTCTGCCAGTAGCGAGCCTTCCACACTTGAAGTAGCCTCAGGTTCACCTCACTAGGCACAACTGTTGTAGTGATATCACCGCCACTTAGTGGAGAATGGCGGTTGTTGTTGGTAGAGCTAAATAGGCACAACACGGGCTGGAGTAGAGTTGATGATGTGATACGGCTCGACTTGGGAGCTGACTGGACTTGCCGATGACAGGTGCCAGCGGTGTCCAGGTAGATTGGCCTCTGTAGATAAGACGAAGGGGTCAGTCTGGTAGACCGAGTCAGTTTCTGTCTCTCTCTGTGTTTCTGTGAACACCTACAGGAATCTACGCAGGCCCAAGCAGCTCTGTTTTGTGCTAGGGCTGAATGTTGAGAGGAGACACCACGACGGTGCCTGCATCTACACCAGCGGCCGCCTCATCCGCATGTACGACCACTTGGGCCCTCGGTCTACCTCAGGCAGGTGAGGGGACACACAGGGACAGGTGAGGGGGCGACACATGGGGACAGGTGAAGAGGTGGGGGGGGTGAACCCTGTTGACGTGAACGCTGCCGTGGCGGTTGTCCCAGGGGGTGTGGCGGCGTGGTGGCGGTGGTCGACTTGCCCTGCATGGTACTGGAGCCGACGCACAACAAGCAGGGCTTTACCGACTCCACTGAGGTCACCTTGCTGCTTCGGGCGCTCGCGGAGCACGTGGAGCACTACCGCAGGATGCTGGGCATCGGTGAGCAGCAGCAGCAGATGAAGCGCTGACCCCACCCCAGACCCCCAGCTGCCCAGAACCCCCATCTGGCTACCACCACGGTCATTGACCCACAGTCAATCTGCTGTTGGATGAACGCCCTTCTACCCCCCAATCACCATCCCCCCCCCCCTCCCCCCAAACATGTCACCCCTCCCCCCCACAACCCCCCACAACCCCCCCTCCCCCCCAACCACCGTCACCCCTCCCCCCCACAACCACCACCCCCCCTCCCCCCCAACTATTGTCGCCCCTCCCTCCTACAACCACCTCCCTCCTAACCACCATCGCCCCCTCCCGCCAACCATCATCGCCCCTCCCCCCACAACCACCATTCCCCCCTCAATCCCCATCGCCCCTCCCCCCCACAACCACCATCCCCCCCTCCCCTCCCATCACCATTGCCCCTCCCCCCCACAATCGCCATCTCTCCTCCCCCCCACAACCATCATCCCCCCCTCCCCCTCAAACACCCTCGCCCCCCCCCAACCACAATCACATCCACCGTCAGCCCCCAGCCTAATCCAGCAGTGGAGTGACCAAGGCTGTATTTGTACAGAGAGGGAGCAGTGGCACAGCGGTTAGCACGCCACGCTACGAACCCGGCGACACAAGTTCGATTCTCCCTCATGATCAATTATGGTGACGACGAATATCTGTGAATCGGTCCTGGGTGTCCCCTTATTCAACTCAGCCATAAATTAGTACCTGGTATAATGTGTAAACATAATCGCGTCAGATAAAGGTGGCTGAGCATGGTTTTAGCCACACCACCCCATTGTAGGTGTTTCGTGCCAGCTGTCATAGTTGCTACTCGCTAACCGCACTTGCCTCAACATTCTGTATGCTCATAATCAATGTTTTTGGGTTTAGATCGCGTTATTTATAAATGTGTCGTAACCCTCCACCACCCGACACGGCCAATCAGTAAAAAAGTGTCACGTTGACAAAAGACAAATAGTTCACTGCTTTAGCCCACCGGTGTGTTGAAGCGTGAAACCACAACATTTACAATTGTAAATGTTGTGGTTTCACGCCTTTGTAAATGTTGTGGTTTCACGCCTCAACACACCGGTGGGCTAAAGCAGTGAACTATTTGTCTTTTTTCAATGTGACACTTTTTTACTGATTGGCCGTGTCGGGTGGTGGAGGGTTACGACACATTTATAAATAACGCGATCTAAACCCAAAAACGTTGATTATGAATAATATTGGTCGCGAAAGCCTACGTGTTAGTCTGTATGCTACATGGGACATCTTTGTGTTTGTGTGGGTGTGCAGCCGGCAACGATGTCTCCAAGTTCTGGGCTAGGTTTGGGTACCTGAGCCGGGGGGACTGGGTCCAGGTCCCCAGCTCGGAGCCTCAGTACCGCCGCTGTAGAGCCATAGAAGTACCGACCAACGTGCAGTGCGGTAAGGGTGTGCAGGTTGAGCGAGCGAGCGTCGGCGGGGTGAGCGAGTGTGTAGGAGGTGTGGAAGCAGTGGTGCAGCGGTTGCCACGATGCCCTACGAACCCCACGACCAGTGCGAATATTTTAAATTGGTCCTGGGCCTTTCCTAGGTCGACTCAGCCTTAATTGAGTACCTGGTGCATTTTGTAATTACAACACTAGGGAAACAAAGGCGGATGGGCCTGGTGTTGGCCACCCACCCCCTCGTGTGCCGTGCCGGTCTTCGTAGGTGCCACAGCACTGCCCCAGCAGTCTGTTAAGGCTATATGGGATCTTTGAGTAGGTGTTTTTGGGGAGCAGTGGCACTGGGCTACAAACCCGACAACCCGAGTTCGATTCCCGCTCTACGGCCAATAACGGTGGTGAATATCTGAATCCGTCTCGGGCTTGCCCTAGGTAAACTCTGCCTTTAATCAATACCTGGCAGACAAAGATGGCTGGGGCGAAAAGCTGACCAAACCACCACGCTCGTGCGCAGTGCCGGCCACGCTCCTCTCCAATGGAACTTGCCCCAGCCACCTTGTGCAAGCCACGTGGGGGACCTTTATCTTTGTGTGGGGGTGGGGGTCTGTTTGGCGCAGACACGTGTCTCAAGTGGCGCTCACTTCCCTTCTGCTCGGAAGACCTCCACAACCCTTTCCCGGAAGTCTGGGTTTGCTCCATGAACCCCGACCCCAGGGACAACCGGTCAGTCGCGGGTCAGGGGACACATGCTCAAAACCACACCAACTCACGCTCTCATTTTAGGAATCGATGGCAAATGTGAACCGAGATGCCCAGCACACGATGGCCTCCTCTTGTCGAATGACGTCACTGGAGTCCTTGACGTCGGCTAGCGAACGTTGTCGTTACAAAGGTTATTTGTATATTATTTGGGTGTTTTGTTGTCTAGAGCATAATTGGATAATGACAGTTACCCAATTTAACCAGATTCGTTTTATATTGTCACATGCAATGGAAAGGTTTAGCACACTGGTAACCACACACACGGGAACAGGACTTTAGTGCAAGAAATACATTTGTTTACCAAAAAACAAAGCAGTCATTAATAGGCAACCGCTGGTCAGTATAACTTATAATACTGTTACGAAGGTATTGGTATTCATCAAACAGCAAATCAAATCGGGCAGTGCTCTATATGGAAAAGTAATCAACATAAAACAACCCAATATCAAAAGTAATGTAAATGCACGACTCAAATTTAATAAGGATACTAGAGACCAAAGTACTTGTGATACTCATTAATAAATGGACTTTAAGCACAGTTTGTTATCATTAGAGTCTATGAACAGGCGTCATCTCTCAGGATACATCATGAATTGACCAATGTATACTGATTATTTAATTTCTTATCCAATCTTTCTCATGAGAAAAAGAAGTGCTCTCTCTTATGAGGCAAGTGAGTGTGTGTTTGGCCTCATGTTCCACTCCTGGTGCCCCCTGTCAGAGGTAGACATTGTTTATATTTACACAGCTGTGAGACATCCACTTCATGGTCAGCAAAGGGGAGGAGTACTCTTCCCTGTGCCCAAGTCAGCTTTAAATGCTGTTTTGTGTTGTGGCCCCACAACTCGGGGTGTCGTGGCGGTGAGATGTTAACTAACTTGCCTGATACTGAGGAGGTCGTGGGTTCGATCCTGACCCTGACGCCTGTTTATTTGTAGTTTGCGTGTTCTCCCTGTGGTCGTCTCCGGTACCTCTGGTTTGTCCCTCCACCTTTATAATCATGCGTTTAGAGTATTTGGTTGCTATGAATTTCCACATGATTAAGCCACTGTTGAGCTATAATTTGTGGCAAAGTAGCTTCTGAACATAAGCTACATAGCACAGTGGGCCTTACCTGGTAAAATTAAAAAGTTTAGTTGAGTACTCCATAACGTTATATGTTCTCAAAACATATAACGTTATGCAGCTACAGCAGCTATTGCATTATTATACTCAACTAATGGGTTTAATGGCATACCCACGACATAGTGGTACAGGTTTCCCACACTTTTTGCGGTAGATGCATTTCAAAAGAGGGGTGCACAAAGCAAAACCGCACACAGCAATTCCTCACTTAACGCAGGAGTAGATGACTTCCTGAAAAGTACCTTGTTAAGCTAAAAACGTGTTGAGACAATTTTCCCATAAATGTAACAAGGTTTGGCAAGAGAATATGTACGCGATACAGTGAGGTGGCATGACAAACAACTTAGATGAGGGTACGCCGACGCATACTCGATTTTTCTGTGTACTGTATCGTAGGGCTCAGCTGCGCTTTCCACGTAACGGGCCCATTATGCATTGTAACTGCATGTTCCGTGTTGTAACGGGCACGTTCGTGTAGTTGTAGTTATGGTGTTGTATCTTATCTTTCTTTTATTTTATTCTTCTCTTTCTTATCTTACCTATAAACGTCACTTTTTGTCTGTCTGTCTGTCTGTCCGTCTGTCTGTCCGTCTGTCTGCGTACGCTCGCTTGCGAGGGATTTGGCGCTCGGGTCGTGGGGTTTAGGACGAAAATAATTTGCCCGGAGGCACGTCCCGTGCCCCGCGGTGAACATAGGCATTTCCGATTTTTCGTCCGTCACCTTTAAATCGGTCCGATTATCGATTTAGTGCGATATCTCTTTATTTATTTATTTACTACTAGCGGAAGTACCCGGCTTTGCCCGGGTGAAAAATATATTTCTTAAAAATCTTACATATATATACACAGATACTAAGGTATTGTCAAAGCCCGGTGGGCTGTTTGTACATTTCTCCACCAACAAATATATAAGAGGCTTTCACAAGTCCAAAAAGTTGTAGAAAGTGTGGGGTAAATAGTTGATGTCAAAAGGTTTCCGAAAATTGCGGTCTCCCCCCCCCCCCCCCCTCAAAAAATATCTTTACCCCTCGTAGGTATATATACTAACAACACCTTACATACAACAGAGGAAGTGGTATCTATTGACTCTGTAGTAGTATCTACTGACTGTACCGTAGTGTCTACTGAGCCAGTAGTAGCTACTGACTGTGTAGTAGTATTAAGTGACTGTAATAACTACTGACCATAGTAGTATTTACTGGGCCTACAGTAGTATCTACCGACTATATACTCGTAACGACTAACTGTATAGTATCTGCTGACTCTATAGTTGTATACACTGACTATAGTAGTAACTACAAAATCTATAGCAGTATCTACTCACTCTATAATAGTATCTACTGACTCTAGTAGCTACTCACCGTGGTAGTATGTACTGACTGTATAGTAGTATATACTGACTGTAGCAGTATTGACTGACTGTAGCGGTATATACTGACTGTTTTAGTATTTACTATAGCGGTATCTACCAACTCGATAGCAGTATCTACTATCACTACCGCAGTGTATACCGACTGAGGTCGTACCTGCTATCACTACAGCAGTGCATACTGCTGTGTTGGTATCTGCTATGATGAGAGGAGTACATATTGTGGTGGTGGTACCTGGTATGATAACAGCAGTGCATATTGACTGTACTCATCATTCACCCTCACCATTCACCACTCACAACTCACCCTTACCACTCATCCTCACCACTCACCACTCACTATTCACCACTCACCCTCACCACTCACCCTCACCACTCACTCTCACCAATAACCCTCACCACTAACCCTCACCACTAACCCTCACCACTCTCACTCATTACTCACCACTCACTCTCACCATTCACCCTCACCATTCAGCCTCACCACTCACCCTCACCACTCACCCTCACCACTCACCGTCACAACCACCACTCACCCTCACCACTTAACTTCACCCTCACTACTCACCATTCATCCGCACCAATCACCACTGACCAATCACCACTCACCACTCTCCACTAACCCTCACCACTCAACCTCACCACTCACCCTCAAAACTAACCACTCTCTCACCACTCACCCTCACCACTCACCCTCACCACTCACGCTCACCCTCACCACTCACCCCTCACTAATCACCACTCATAACCGCCACTCATCCTCACCATTCACCACTCACCCTCAACACTCACCCTCACCACTCACCGTCACCACTCACCCTCACTACTCACCGTCACCACTCACTCTCACCACTCACCATCACAACAACCACTCACCCTCACCGCTCAGCACTCACCCTCACTACTCACCCTCACCACTCACCACTAATCCTCAACAATCACACCCTCACCAATCACCACTCACCCTCACTGCTCACCCTCACCACTCACCACTCAACCTCACCCTCACCACTCACGCTCACCCTCACCACTCACCTCTCACTAATCACCACTCACAACTGCCACTCACCCTCCCCACTCACCCTCACCACTCACCCTCACCACTCACCCTCACCACTCACCCTCACCATTCACCCTCACCACTCACCCTCACCACTTTCCCTCACCACTCTCCCTCACCACTCACCCTCACCACTCACCAGTCACGCTCACCACTCACCCTCACTACTCACCACTCACCCTCAACACTCACCACTCACCCTCAACACTCACCCTCACCGCTCACCACTCACCCTGACCACTCACCACTCATCCTCACCAATCACATCCTCACCAATCACCACTCACCCTCACCGCTCACCCTCACCACTCACCCTCACCACTCACGCTCACCCTCACCACTCACCCCTCACTAATCACCACTCACAACCGTCACTCACCCTCACCACTAACCCTCGCCACTCACCCTCACCACTCACTAATCACCTCTCACAACCGTCACTCACCCTCCACCACTCACTCTTACCACTCACCCTCACCACGCACCCTCACAACAACCACTCACCCTCACAACAACCACTCACCCTCACTACTCACCCTCACCACTCATCCTCACCAATCACATCCTCACCAATCACCACTCACCCTCACTGCTCACCACTCAACCTCACCACTCATGCTCACCCTCACCACTCACCCCTCACTAATCACCACTAACAACTGCCACTCACCCTCCCCACTCACCCTCACCACTCACCCTCACCAATCACCACTCACCCTCACCACTTACCACTCACCCTCACCACTCACTACTTTCCCTCACCACTCTCCCTCACCACTCTCCCTCACCACTCTCCCTCACCACTCTCCCTCACCAGTCACGCTCACCACTCACCACTCACGCTCACCACTCACCCTCACTACTCACCCTCACCAATCACCACTCACCCTCACTGCTCAACCTCACCGCTCACCCTCACCACTCACCCTAACCACTCACGCTCACCCTCACCACTCACCCCTCACTAATCACCACTCACAACCGCCACTCACCCTCACCACTCACCCTCACTACTCACCACTCATCCTCACCAATCACACCCTCAACAATCACCACTCACCCTCACCACTCACGCTCAACACTCACCCTCACTAATCACCTCTCACAACCGTCACTCACCCTCACCACTCACTCTTACCACTCACTCTTACCACTCACCCTCACCACTCACCCTCACAACAACCACTCACCCTCACTACTCACCCTCACCACTCATCCTCACCACTCACCCTCACCACTCACCCTCACAACAACCACTCACCCTCACTACTCACCCTCACCACTCATCTTCACCACTTACCACTCACCCTCACCACTTACCACTCACCCTCACCACTTACCACTCACCCTCACCACTCACCCTCACCACTCACCTTCACCACTTGCCACTCACCCTCACCACTCACC